CTCATGTATGCGAATGATGTCACATCAGTAGTGCGCCCCTTCAAATATTCCAGCTGGATCTCGTATATACTGTATATTTTGGGTGGGAATAAGGTGGAACTGGCTGGTAATAGCTAGATTTTGTTGGTCTTCCTAGCCAGCTGAAAGGCTGAATTTAGCTGGAATAGTGCAGTAACCTCCAAATACACCATTAAAAAAAAAACAACGGTAGAAAGGCAGTGGGCTGAAGATCCCATCCACTTTTCCTCAATCGCCCTATCGAAACTCCTACATGAGTCATAATGTATTATGCCATATGTTAAGGGGAACTATGAAACCTTCCAACCATAAGGAATTCGTCGTGATCGGTGAGCGGAATTTCGAGCAATGAACGAGGAGAGGGCATTCTCCACTCAAGCTCGGGGAAAGCGCTCAGTTTTTTCTTGGGATGGGATTATAAAGTGGGGCTCTTGCTTCTTAACATCTGAAGTTTCCAGCCAGTGTAGCCCTATTTTGTGCAAAACAGGTGATTTACAAAGATTTTTTGGAGTCTTGAAGATCTATAACTTTGCAATGCAGGTCATTCTATGAGAAGAAATACACGAGCTCATGAATTCACTTTCTGAGTCAGATACAAAAGCATCTTCATTTCCAGGCTGGAAAAAGTGGTTTCCAGCCAAAATATCCTCTACCATTCCATCTGAGAATGGTCCAAATTTACAAATAGAACCAGCTTATTTTCCAGCTGGGATATTTGATTGGGGGGCATATATTTTCTCCATGAAACGATCTCCATGGATGTTGCGGCATTATTTTCTCAAGTTTCGCTGAGATTCGGTGAGTAGTTTTCATGCTAGTGCCGTACATCCGTCAAACGACTAAGCAATCACTCTGAAAATACTATTCAGGATATTGCGCTAATGTACCGACAACAGCGTCATCTCTCCATAAGATTTGTTGAACTATGATAATTCATTTGGGAATCATTGTACGGAAGCAGCTACGGTCCTTGACCCACTGACTGGACCTTTCTGCTTTCATAAGGAATGAAAGACTCCCGTGATTGCCAAAAGAGTCGTGTGCAACTTCTGGAAACTGCTCGGAGGTCAGGGGTAAAATGAAATATCCCAAGGTGTGCGGGGTTTACTGGAATGAAAAAGTGTTTGTTCTCTCTGATGCTCGAGACATTATTCACGATACACAGGGACAACATTGCCCGAAGATAGATGCGACACAATAACAGGCTGTGTGCATGGTCAAGCTCTCTTTATAGTTGAACATATAAAACTCGAGCTTGCCTCGAGCTCATGACCGGGTGATACGATCACGAATTTCTCTACTTATGTCAAATGATGAAAAGTTCCTTCCTTCCCTATTTTCTTTACAGTAATTCAGGCTAAAATGTCTAAGTACGATTTTTAACAGTGCTAACTTCAAGCTCCCAAGAGGAGAAGCAACAGCACAATGAGTTGAAGAAACGGTTCGTGACTCAGATGCGCCGAGAGGATCCCTTGGATATTTCCGAGTGCGCCACTCGGGAGCCAGACGTGCAGTAAAACAGTTCAGCAAGTTGGATGCCCATCATCCGGGAACTTTCCATTCCTATACTGTACCTTCCGACTAAAATTCTCGTTCTGGACACGCAGACATCCTATTCGACGTCCAATGCTAAAGAAAGTACTGATCCAATCTAGCAAATATCTAATTTTATGAAGACCGAGGCACCGGAAAACTAATACAAGACACTACTAACTCGAATTTTACAAATCTGAAACGAGAATTTTTAAATATTTTCCGCGACTCGCATCGAGCGGCAAAATGGATCCCGTGGTTAAATGGTACAGCAGGATATAACCAGGGTGATTCTTCGGTTAAAGGCCTTCCTGAATAATGCTTCGAAGATAACTTCAAGAGGATCTACAGTATAATCCGTAGGGCAAGTACGATTAAAACTGAGCTCCAAGAAAAATGAAACATCAATATGTCACACGCATGGAGAAATACGAGCGTAATGACTAATAACTAATATAAAGGAAATTCGTACGATTCGTACAATGTGCTACATACGTATTCCAGCAAAAATTCCTTGAAAGAGTTTATAACCTTAACCACAGGCAGGACTTTTAAATTTATTTTAAAACTCTTTTTAAAATTTTAATGTCCATCAGTACAGGGGCACAGCTCTGAAAATTTTGCTGACTAATTAGCCTACACAATGAAAGCACAATTTTTTTATTATAGCTTTTTATCATAGTTGAAGAGAATCTGGACTTTGCCGAGCTTCGACCTGCCGGTTTTTCATTATCTTGTGGGGAGAGCTTCAAGCAATGGGTAAATGGTAGCTCTGTATATGCAACCAACATACAAAGTGACACGAAATGATGTGAGCGCAGGTTCTCGAATAGATAGAAAATTTGGCTTTTACTTTCGATAGAGAAATAAAATCTGGACCTCGAAACTAACAACTATCTATTTTAGTCGATTAATTGCAAGGCTACGACACTTTTTCGCTCTCACGACTCAGCTGAGGCACGCGATAACGCGTTCATGTTTAAGCATGTCTGCACCGATCAGTCTTACCACCCTCTTAAGTGTTAAATGTGCATTTTTCTGTTGGGTTTTCCCCTGTGATTTTCACTGCTCGCAAAAGCAGTCGAACATTGGCAAGTGAGATTCTGGCAGTTCGTAAGAAGAAATCATTCTCTGTTCGTCGCTTTCTGAAGAAGGAAGGAATGCAGCTATTCCATGTGATCTCCAAGCCGCTGAAAACTTATTTGAACAAGAAAGACCGATTATTCCTGGCCTAATCCGTCTCTCAAAACGATGAAGCGTAGACTTTCTCCACTTCGCATTCAGCGAGGAATTCTTCCCGTGCGCCATCAGGAAATCCAATCATCCGTATCCGAGCGACATCTCCGAACACTTCCGCCAGATCGTCAAAATTCCGTTGTGCATCGGATTATATATACGTCCTCTTCGCAGCCATGCGAATGATGCGGGTAATCAAAGAAATGGGCGAATCTTGGAACGGTGAGTATTTTCAAGAAACTGTTCTCGAACGACGTGGGTTCCCGTTCCTTGAGAACAACGATGTCCTGGTCGTCTGAGAGGCAACCTTCGTCCACGACAAAGATGCATGGGAACAAAAGCAATTCAAAATCTCATCACAAACCGGGTAATTCGATGTTGGAGCAACGATTTGTGGCCCGGTGACTCGCATGATAACCTGACAGGAAATTGGGGCGATATCACGAAAGACCATGTGGAAGAACGAATGCACCGTGAGCATGGCCCCGGACGCTATTCCGAATCCACGCTTCAGAGCAATCTCATTGACGTCCTTCATGAACTCGAGGACACTGAACTCTTCTTTTGTTCGATTCCGAAACGTAATCAGTCGGTGCTGGCAGGAGATGGTGCCCATACTGAGAATTAATGTTTTTTTCATTAAATAAAAGTAACAAAAAGAGAGAAAAATATCTATAACTTGACAACGAATCGACCAAAATGAGGTCAATTTTGGTTTCTGAACGCAGATTTCAAATCTCTATAATAAAAAACAGACTTTCTACCTATTCGGGGAACCTGCTCTACGACCCGGCCACATAGAGCATTTCGTGTTAACCTGCAGCATGATTTACTGTATATTTGTGCGCGACTGGGCATTGTATGACTCAAAGGGATTGAGAAACCCAATCCACATTCCAATGCTGACAACTGCTCAAACTCACCATTATTAGTCGCAAAGGGAAAACTTCCTTTCTTCCATAGAGGCTGACAGTGTTTTCTTTTTTCTCAAATAATTCTATATTCCTAGTCTACTAAGACGATTGATTGCATCCTACACCCTTCTGAACGGCGCTGCATGTCATCCAACTGAGCGACATCTGCTGTTTCAATGTAACTGCCCCTTGCTATATCAGTGATTGACGTGGGAATTAAGTCAACTCCGCTTCCGCCACAGTAGGGTGGAATGCAATCGATCGAAAACACTGACGCGTGCCATTCACAGTATCCGTGGTTGCACTCGCCTATTTCTGCCATAGACAATTCGCACCATGCAGCACAGCTTCCAGCTTGACATTCATGACTGTGAGCCCAGTTTACGATTGTATTGTAAAGATAAAAGGCTCAATAATCACATACAAGTGATAAGCCCATACTGAGTTTGTAGCATGCATATCATGAGGCAAAATGGAGTAAAAATATTATTCCAAGGACGTCAAAATCTGCTTTTGGATGCCTCAAACTAACATACCATTTCTACGATTAAAAAAGGAGTGAATCTGTGAAGGATTTACTCATGAGTGACCTAAGTCTTCCCATGTTATTTTTTTGTATTTTTATTCTTGCTTCCTTGCTTTCAGAGCATGATTCCACTCAATTATTTTTGTCATTTACAGAAAGGCTCCCTTGTCTCTGCTTTGTTCCAAAGGACCTTGGGATGTCTCACATAGAGTATATCCGAGGAAAAAAATCGTTTCGTGACGATTGAGCTTCCTTCTTTCAATAAAAATCAACCAGGTTTTTCAAGAATTCACAATAAAATGTATTGGAAGTCAGATTTTAGTGGAGACATTGATGGGGCAATAGAATCCATGAGGGGGAGGAACAATTCAATAAAGGGAATGCAACTTTTTTTTTGGCACTTGAAGAAACTCATAACACACCATGAAACATTCAAACAGAAAAGCTTCATACAATGCATTAGTTGCCATTTTTTTTGGCAAAAAATGAAACATTCCAGGCATTTGATGTTGAGATGATTGTCTCTTACATATATTCAAATGCCAAACATTGACAGCTTCCAAAAGGGCTATAGCTCAAACAGGAAGGGAAGCAGATTGGTAGCTGTCAGATGTGTGTTATGAACTTTGATCCAGAGAGTAACTCTTGCAAACAGGTTTTTTCAGGAAGAGAAGCCTCCCTGTGCCTGCTTGAATCAAATGTAGACATGGGAGCTGAGGCTGTGGAAAGAATCATATGAACAGGTAGTTTGAATTAAAAAAAAAAACTGCTCAAGAAACACACTGTTGTGCCACTGAAACAAAAGAAGTTTTCTACAAAAATTGTATCAAAGGGGAAACAATGAGTGCAGATGAATGCAAGCAATAGGAAAGGAGGAATCAGAATGCAGTGTATAAAATAATAGGAATAACCTGATCACTGTTCATTTTATTATAGAAAAGGTACAGTCCAACTGGGTACTCTCTAAAATTCTAGCAGGGCACAAGGGTGAAGGACAAAAATTTCAGACAACATGGTGAGATTGGAACACATTGAATTATAAAGACACCAGATCAGAATAGACAAAAAATTGTCCTGGGAAAATAGCAAATGAATGCAGTAGAAACATGTGGAAAAACTTGGCTACTAGGAATGAATGCATTGGCATGTTAGCATGATGATTATGAACCTTGCATGAATCACACCCTCTAGAAGAGCAAGGGGTACACCAAAAGGGATCAAGCCAACCTTTGCATGTCAAATGTTTCCATATTCAGAGCATAGGTGGAAAAACGTAAATGTAGCCATATTTAAACAATTTGAATATGAAAACATTGGCATGTAATGGTTAATAAGTTTTCATTAAACTGGGCAAAGTTCATAGGTGAAGTCAAATCCTGAAATGAATTAATATCTAGTCTTTTACAATGCCATTCAAATCTTGATCTGAAACCTCACAACCTATGCCATCCTTGAATTCCAAATCAAAGTCTGGGCTCTTGAAATCTCTCAGAGTAATGCTCAATTTTCAGTAGGAATCCCAAGTCTCAATGGAGAAGTGGGTCCCAGGACATTTATACCTAATTCCAGTACTGGCTTCATTTGACTGTTGGGGCAGAAAAAAAGAAGCTGTTGACAGTTCTACTGAATGTTGGTTAGAATGTGGAGACAAAGAAGAACCAGTTAAAACTAAAATTTGAATAAAATTTCTAGAATCTCTTTCACAGAAGCCAAATAGATATAAAAAATTGAATTAGAAAACATTTTATGCTGATTTGGACCCTTTCCATGAATGAATGAATGAACACTTACAATGGCATTAAAGTTCTATTTGATATGAGCATAACAGCAAGGTATATAAAAATGTTTTAGATCATGACAGGCTCAAGGCCCATTAGCATCCAACATGGCTCAACAAATTGCATGACAAAAGGCACACTCAAACATATTAAGATTCATATTTTTGATTATATAATTTTTATATTTACATTTTTTCATCTTATATCATCTGGGAGAATGCTAAAAGCATTGAAAATAATGTTTTAATGCCAAGCTTTTTGGCCATGATTATGAAATTGAACATTGAAATCATACTGCTACTAAAATAATCCTGTTTTTTTAAGTTTGAAAAGAAGAATATTAATATATCATCAGGTGAAAATAATGAGAACCACAATGTTAAACCCTTGAAAGTCCACAGATTTTTCAGGGCCTTTCAAGCAGGATAGGGGTAGCAGAGTGGCTGTTGCCAACAATCACCTAAGTCTTGGTTCTCTTTTCATAGAAGTACACATCAAATCTTTAATGGACTTTCATAATGTCATGCTTTTTACTTTCCAATTAATTATTTTAGCTCATTCTCTTTCAGTTATGAAACAGATGAGAATAAATAATTCAGATGACTTTGAATTTGCAGGAATTTTCCACAGTTTGGCACATTGCAAGGGAACTTTAGAGAAGCAAAAATAAAGGCTCCAGAAACAATGCAGCTGATGAATTTTGTTGCTTTAGCTAATTTATAGAAAATTAGAGTTTCTTGAACACAATGATTCTACCATTACCAGCACTTTTTCATGATTTCACTTTAGTTTTTCAGCTAAACCTGACTCCCTCCATGATGCCCATATCTTCAAAAACTGGAAACGCCAAAATATCAACAGACTTTTTGCTCTCAGGAACTTTTCTGATTTTTATATAGCTAATAATCAAAAAGAAAATCTGATATATGTTCATTTGACATTGGAAAAATGTCAAATAGGCTCTTTATAGTTTCCAGAAACTTTCCTCACTGACACACCTTTAGTATTTGAGTTTGAGAAATTCTTAAGAAACTACAAGAGGGGGGGGAATTTCAGGATAAGAGGCACCATGGAACCCTGATAATAGCCATAGAAAAGCTAGCTAAGAAGAAAAGGGAGTTGAAAATGCACCATGGTGGATCAGACAAATGCGAAATACTCTTCTAACTTCATCTAGAAAAAAAACCAAATATGTGTTGGCTGTCATGCCAGACTGGTGTGATCTCATCCTTGGTCATTAGAGCCAAAAATGGTCAGGTCACACTGAAGCCATCTTGGTTTTATGGGGTCAAATTACAACATTTTTCAACCACATCATGGAGCATTAAAGTGAAATTTGAGTAAGAAGACCTTCCTTCCACATAATAGAAGACTAAATTCTATGGGGAGATAAATGGTTTACAGAGGTGTGACAATTTAATTAAAAAGAAGTATAGTTACTGGGTACTTCAACGCAAAAATTCCAAGTTCTCAGTATTTGTAGAATCTTTTAGCATGCAGGCTCCTGAAAATTTGAATTTCAGTGTTCACAGGAAAGTGTGGAACTTGGGTTCTGAAGAGAAAATTCTTTACACCCAAATGGCACCTTATACAACAAAGCAAAGCATGTGCATTTGCATTTTGTCAGGAAGATTCTAACATTCAAGAGAAGATATCCACAAAACAATGCCAATGCCATGATTTTTGGCAGCTATTTGTGCTTTTCACTCATGGAATCACCTTCAAGGTGAAATGGCATTAGACTATCACAATTGATCACATTATGCACAAAAAATCATCACAAAAAGCATAATAACAACTAAAAGAGATCCAAAAAGAGGCAAACAGGTACAGTGCATTTTAAACGGAATTATTTTGTGCATGAAAAGAGAAAAATTCACTCTCACTGCATACATGCATATAGCTACATGCAGCTTTAAAGAAAGTAGCAATTCCAAAAGCATTATAAGCCACCTTGAAGTGGTATAAGCACACAAGAATCCTATGAATCCTGCCCACAACTTGATGTGCAATGGTCTGTCATACTGAACTACACACACTCCAAAACCTCTTTTCTCTTATATTTGAGCATATCAAAGGATGAAAATGACTATACTGCACTTTTAGTCCAAGTTTGATTCCACATCAAATATTGCACTGATTCATATACTCAAGGGCAAATTCCCATAGGACATGAATATGCTAAAGAAATAGCACCAGCATCAGTACTGGAAAAAAAAAATCAAAGGAATACTGAATCAGAGGAACTCATGGCATGATAAAAGAACTATAATTGTGTTGGTGTAGGGGCAACTGACTACCATCACCTCTCCTACTGATACCCCATATTATTGAGGGCTTCTAGGGCCTGGAAAAAAAATCAGCAAATGATGAAAACAACAAAGATGTTAAGGATAGGATTAAGTAGTCTATGCTACCTTGAAGAGTAAATGATGACATTTACCACAAGGTCTATGGGGTGAGAGGAAAGAATATAGCATGAAGAAGTATGCAAATTACCTGAAAAACATCATAATTGACATTTTTACTCTTTATTAATTTAGAGATATATGCAAGCTGGATCCACTCATATACAGCACACCAACTTGCACGTATCTATTTTGTACAGAGGGGGGAAAAAGTAGCAGAAAGAATGTGGCAACACTTGACATGCAGTGAAGCTAACATTATATAATAGTCAAATAACATTGTAGATGCAGCCATAAAATTCCTACCATAACAAGATTCATGTATTCTCACTATGTACCTTTTGATCAACATTAAAATCAATGTTCTTTTGACTGTAGGCTTACTTTCATGAACTAAAGCAGTAAAGGGCCATGCAAAAAAATTATATGGCACAATACATGGTGTTTTCAAAAAATTGAAAGCCTACAAAAAAGAGCATGGATTTGGAAAATCAGATGATGAATATATTTATGTACCTGAATCCTTTTTTCCTAAAGTCTTTTTTCATTCTCTTGTAACCTATGTATTGAAGATGACCATCAACCCCTTTATAGGCTACCAGGAAGCTAATAGGTAAAAAAAAACTCATGGGTACTTCACTCAGTGCTATAATGAAGGAGCTGCAAGCGGTGGGCCTGCATGGGGTGACAACTTGAGGGGGCACCAATTGGCTACCAAATCACAATATATGAATAAATTTGGGGAAAAAAAAGAAAATTATCTTGAACTTAACTAAATTAAACAAAAATAACCTGTCCTGACTCAACATCTCCATGACAGAATAATTCTCCTCATTCAATATCTCTTTCCTCCTCTCTTCTTCCAATATTCTACTGCCCCAATGCTTTCCTCCCAACCCCCACAGGGTATTCCCCCTTCTTTTCCCTTTCCATCTTGAATTTTTCATTTGTGTGATAAAAAAAAGGCAAAATTCATGCACAAAAATACTAGAAGAAAAGCAAGAGGTGAGATGTAAAGGAGGGACAGGATATTGGAAGGAAGCTATTCCGTGTGTGAGAAATAAAACAAGCCCAACGATTGGAATGTCTAGTAGTTGGGCTTGTTGACATCATAGCTAGACTGGAATTTCTTCATATCTTGCTTTCTGAAGACCACAAGACCAAGCAAACAAAAATTTAGTTTCTTCTCATCATGGTCCTTCTTTATAGCTTCACTCACCTCAAGAGTCAAAGAAAAGGACACAACACCCATGAATAAGTTACATAGGGATCCTGTATCATGACTGAAGATGTTTCTACTTTCTTCTGTCTGTACTCTACTGCCCCAGCTGAGGAAATCTCTTTGTGTCCAAGGAGGTGAATAAAATGATTGAGGGGAAAACTAACTGGGAGAGGTAAAATAAACATTTGAACAGGGACCCTACTATGTGCAATAAATGAAAGAATAGATATCTACCTGACATGAATCCCACTGCCTTATCACCAAAGAGAAGTACCTCAGGGTCAGGAGGAAGGCTGTGAGTGTCAGTCCGTGGAGGCTTGGGTTTAATTCCTTTGTCCTTCATGTAACTCAAAAACTGGGTAGGTATCTCAGCCAGAACTGCCTTTGCCAATTGTAGCATAGATGCCTGTCCACCAACTTGAGGACCCTGCTAAGAGAGAAATGAAAATCTATAATTTAAACATGTAATGAAACAAAAATGTTGAGATGAATTGATGATCAAACCTTGAAGTTTCGAAAAGGGACAAACTGAACAATATCTCTTGCAGCTACTTTGTTCCCTGAGGTTAATGCCACTGTGTCAGCATCCAGCTCTTCCATGGCAGCAAAGTCTGCAGCCCCCACTCCAATTATGACAATTGACATAGGGAGCATTGATGCACGTATGATGGCCTGCTTGCAAAAGAACAAGGATAACACCTCCTCATCATGGCCAACTGTGTGACACATTATTCATCATGCACTGACTTCTTTTGTCTGTGGCATGTCTGTGATGACACCATCTGTGATGATGAGGAGGAAGAAATACTGAGACCCATCAGTATAAGTAGCTGCAAATTTTGCTACATGGTTTATCACTGGAGCAAAGTTTGTTGGCCCATACAGCTGCACTCGAGAGATGCAGTTCCTATAAGCAGCTAATACACCTAAAAATGAAAGACAGGATGTTGAGGAGATACAAACTAAAGCACCAATTTTCCCTTTGTGACAGTAAAAAGTCAATGAATTGTGTCGATTTCACCTTCAATATCATTGCAATATGGGTTTGTAGGATGAAAGTTGACAAAGAATTCATGGGAAACCTTCCCATCAGGAGGTATTCGTGCCCCAAAGCCCAAGACTGGGAACATCTTGTCTGTGTCATAATCACGTATGATTTGGCCAACAGCCTGGATTGCATCTGCATAGGGATTGAGAGTCATTCCTCCAGTGTAGTGAAGAGAATCTGGACTTGAAGGGTGACCATTGGAAGCTGCAAAGAAATATTACAATATCCTGATAATTGAGGCCAATTTCTTAGTTCTTTATGTTTACAGATAATGAAAAGAATACCTGTAAAATCTATTGCAATGGTGCATTGCAATTCTGTGCCTCCCTTGATGAAGTCCAGGAATGATGGACGTTCTATCAAGATACTGTTCATGAGGTGAATAACTCCTGATCCTTTGTAACCACTTTTCTTTTGTTTCTTAGCCGGATTGATGAGTGTGAATTCATTTGCAGGACCAGGTCCTTGTAGTATTTGACGAACAGTCATATAAAACTCACCAATGAAGCTGTGGTTCCCACTTCTATTCCAGTCATAACATTCAACCTTGATATTTCTGTCCATATCACCATTACACAGTTCTCTCACTAAAAATAAAAAAATAAAAACCAGTGCAAGGAAATCCAGTGAATCATTCTACATTAGAAGTCATAATTCCTGCCTGTAATATTGTAATATGCCAGCAGTAAGAGTAAAGGTTTCTTTACTCTTACTGCTGCCATCACTATAATTGTGCAGTGCATAAACTGATATGCTCCCAAGGGATGTGAAATTTCATTCAAATTCATTGCATCAAAGTAGCACTCTGAGAAATTATTGAATATTTAAAAGAAGTTAGACAGGGAAAATGGATTGGAGCCTATATTGGCAGCCAAGTGGAAGAAATGCATTCATGTTTTGGTCACATATCCTCCATGCCACATCAAACATCTCTTTAAAACCTAATATTTGGGTTGGCCTTTTGTTGCAGATGGTTTGGATAAGCCTCTTCCCAATAAATAGTGGATGAATTAATAAGTATCAATGAAGAGAGTTTGATCAGTATTTCTTTAGATCTTCCCCTTGTGCACACTGGAGGATAAAGCAGGCAGAGTCTTGTCACTCTGTCACTCTCACTCCATCCATTTGAAATTTTTAATTTTATCCTTTCAGGAGTGGGTTTTTCTGTAGGTGTGCTTGTGCCTTCAATTCAAAGCTATCTATTCAAAGTCATTCTCATAAAGAAGTGGGACATACCAGTATACTCCTGGGAGTATACTGGTATGTATACAGGGACATACTGGAGTATACAGGGACATACTCCTGAAAGGGTTAAGGAAATAAATGCTCACAGTCTTGCTTTGCAAGGAAAAATTTCCATGAAATTACACAAGGGGAGTTAGGAACTTCTCAGTCGATGCAGAGGGCAAGTTTCATTGGCTCATTTGAATGAAACCTAACTATCATTAGGCAAAATAGCTCCAGTAAGAGCGTAGATTTGCAAGTTAAAAGTTGGGATCATTTTTTTGGTTGAATATGAGCAAAAGTCCTTTCCCACAGGAACTAGTTGAACCACTCACCAGCCCCAAAGCAAAAATTATGTGGGTTCCCAGGTATCATTGAAGTATATATGAGGGGGAGTCAATAAATAAGGTGAATTTCAGTATAACTTCAAAGCAGTTTATTCCAGAAAAATGAACACATACTATTTTTATATGTAATTACCTCCTACCTCAATACATTTATTCCAGTGACTGACAAGCTTTCTGATATCATCCGAGAAAAAAGTTTTTGGTAGCCAATTATGCACTGCATTTTGAACGTCTGTATCATCCCTGAAATTGCGTCCCTGAAGTGCATCTTTAATTGGTGACTGTTTCTGAATAGTTCACACCACTTGTAAACATTTTTCGATGAAAAACAACTGTCCCCATATTCTGCACAAATTCTACAATAAATTTTACTTGGTTTAACTCTTTCTGACAGTAAAAATCGAATGACACTTTGCTGTTCAACAGCGGTGCAATCTGAATTCAGGCCACCATTTTAAAAACCATCAGCGACAATGTTGCCAACTTTATGTTGTTGAAACTATGAGTACTACATGTTCAGACATGCAGTAATGAGGGTATGTGGTAATGAGTACATAATGGGTGCATAATATCCGTGAAAAATATAAATTCACCTTAGTTATTGACTCCCCCTTGTATCTGTCTGCTCCAAGAAGGCAGAGACATTCATTGATGCATCTGGATCACCCACATACTTGTCAAATTTTCAAATCACCATTGTCACCAGTCAATGGGAAATAAGTGATCAAGACAATTAACCCATAAAAGTTTTTAAAAAGGTGCAAGTGAGAAACTTCCAATTATAAAATAGGTAATGGATTTTTAAACATTGAGATTGAGGGTGTTGCACAACTGGAATAAGAATTTTCTTGCTGATTAGAAGTCAATTTCTTGCAGTCATCCCAGTTCCCCATGAATGAGTGTTATGCTATCAAACCTTCACAAAGGATCACTGAGAAATTTGAAGGTCTGCACTACTTAATGCCCCCTTATGACCATTTTGATCTTTTATACCCCTAAGGGCATAAAAGGTCAAAGGCTCTGTCATTTGGTTCACCAAGTTGTGGACAGTCTAGCATATGCAACAAAACCAAGAAATATTGTTGAAGACTTATTAAACAAAATAACTAAAGCTATCTAATCCATTACTTCCCAGCAATAAAGAAACACAGTTGATGCATCCCAAAGGTACCTATTGATGTTTTTGGCAATCAAAATTAACAGTAATAAAGGTTGAAGCTTCAAGAAACACATTGAATGAAAGATCATATACAATTGTTAAATTAAAAGATACCTTTTCCTATCAAATAAAAAAATGGCACTTTCATGTGTCTACCCTGTATACATGTCACATAACCTGATGCACTTCTGCTCTCCTATGATATGACCATTGACATCTATATCTAAGCATTTCCTCAATAAGTTCAGAAGGATGCAATAAAACCTTGTCTGTGGGCACAAAGTTCCATCACCAATAGCTGATGTGTGATTGAAGCTATTGTACTTGTACCTGTGGTAGTTGCTATGTATATATTCTGTACTTTCAAAGAAGAGCTCTTCAGCAACATGTCTTACTCCTTTGATCTTCTGAACACCCCCTTTTATGATGGCATTTTACACTTTGTTGACAGCTGAGATTTACTCCATTTGGTGAACTCTATCCCCTATCCACCCTTTCATAAGCATGAATTACTTTCTCTGCCTGACCCATTCTTAGCCAATGCTAGATGCATTGCCCAGCAGAAACCACGAGGTGGTGATGGGTTATCTTCTGCCATAGAGGTGGTGAAAGGAAGAGGGAAGAAATCAGTCGGAAAACGAGAAGGTCAGGGTTCAGGTTCACTCATCATCACCTCTTCATCAGAAGACTCATCACTCTCCCTGAGACAGATGATGATTGGCTCCAATGCACGATCTGCATTTTCATCTTGTGTGATATATTCTCTCTCGACCTTTTCCACATGCAGAACCACCTTTCGCCAATCTTCTTCCGTATTTTGATTCACAGCACACTGAATCAGTTTCAATACTTCATGGCTTAAAGTTGGATGCTTGTTTCCCTTCCTCACTGTGTTCTTCATCTGACTCCATATCATTTCTAGGGATTGAAAATACAGTGGTAGGGAGGGAGACGCAGCACAATGATCCCGGCTTTTTGAGTGTTATCATCCACCAAAAATGTCTTCTTGATGTCCTTCTCCTTGATGATACTCAGAAGTGACGATTTTATCATCGGAGCTTCAGGGATTTCGATGTCATGCTGCCGCATAAAGGACAGGATGTCATCTTTCCTTGTTGCCATGGTTGGGGTCTTGATCTTGAGTCTTGAATGATAACTTGTGTTGTCCATAACGATCACGTGTTTCTCTCCAATGGCATGAAGATTTGGGATTAAGGTCTCCTCAAACCAGTTCTCAAAGAGACTAGATGTCATGTCTTCATGATAATCTGCAGCTGCGGGAGAAATGTTCTTGCTGGAAAGAAGCAGGCAGTTGGGGACCCAGCCACATGAATTTCCAGCATGCAGAATTGACTCGTTTTCCTCTGGAAGTTGGCACATCCATGCAACATTTTTTGGATTTGTCATTCCATCCCTTAGTGACAGTGTCATGTGTACCATACCACATCTCATCCAAGTAGGTGATGAGATATCCTTTGCTTCTGAAATGATGAATCCGACTCAAGAATTGAAAGCGCTGGGCAATGAGACATGGATTCTCCATGATGATTTATCGCCGATCAATCTGTTTGAATCGGAATCCTATCTTCTTTAGCAGTGCTGCAAGGGTGGTCCTCTTGTAAGGGAATTGAATATCACAATCCTTGGTTTCTGCTTGTAATCTCCATAGTAGGGAATCCAAAGTTGGCACAGTTTTGTCTTCGTACATGCGATACATGGTCCGTCGCATGAAGTCGCAGTCCATATCATCAGTTTGTTGAAAACGAAGTCTCTTGTGGGCCCTCTTCTTTGGTGTTTTCGGTCCCTTATTAGCTATGCATCTAATGGTGGAGTAACTGACACCAGTTGCTTCTGCCATGCATTTTTTTGGTCCACGTTCTCCTCTTCTCTCCATCCATTTCAGCAAGTGGATAAGAATTCTTTGGGCATCTTTTGACACCAGTTTTCCCTTACCCCATCCGGATGAGGAAGGTGAGGGGGTGTTGTTAACGATGGAATTAGAAGCCACACCCTCACTTTAGGGTTCACATAGGGATCAAAGGGAGATCGTCTTCCTCAGGTCTTGGGCTTTCCCACAGATGAAACATCACGAAACTCAGTTTCACACAAGGCAGAAGATGGACTACTGAGGAAATAGAGGCTGGAGCTTTTGTTCTTCCCACCCACCCACCATTCTCTCATATGGTACCCTCCCCAAGTGTGTCATAAATGGTAATAAATTAACATTTTCGTCATTTGCTAGCTGCTTGGACCCTCTGTCGTCATCCACATGTAATTGCTCTCATCAGCCCTTTGTCTCCAACTTCAACCGACAGAGCCCTTCTTTGAACGTACAGACTATACCAATGTCATTGAAAGGGATAACAAACACCAAAAAATGTGAGGGATGAGAGACATTACAAATGTTATCAAAGGAATCAGGGGTCATTCCATCTTGCTATCCCAATTTCAGAAGAGGTTGCTTTGAGGGTCATCGCATGGATCTGTATACAATTTGGCATATAATGTATAAACACACTGAGAAATAAACTTCAATTATTTATTTTGGGCTGGCCTTTTGGGTTTTTGAGGAAAGGGAGTCACATAATGTTGATCATCAAGATGCTCTAATGTATGGGGTACCTTGATGTCCTTGCAGCATAATATACTTAACATGTCAGGAACTACTTCAGATATATTAATGTACTTTAGTTCACTTGAAAGCTCTTGAATAATTCTTTAATTATCAGGGTTATTGAAGTCACACCCACTCTTAAAACAAGGGAGTCATCATCTAATATAAGTCAATGATCATTTACCTTTCTTTCCAGCTAAACCAATTCTTTCATGTCTTTAAATTTTTCATAAAGTACCATTATTGTTCAACCAATTCAGACAATTCCATGATGGTGTTTAAAAAAATGTATGGCACCAATTTTACAGTATTTCACCTTGACAAAGACTTTGTTATGTGATAAATTTTTAGACTGCCTCTATACTTCCCTGTTTTGGTCCCAGACAATTTTGGTGATAAATTGAAATGCATGGCTTTAAAATGGAGATTTTTTTCTCATTTATATAAAATTTGCAAAAAATTTCCCTTTCATTAATCCACACTGCCACACACACTGTTAATGCCTCAGAATACACTAACTACATAGCCTTGAAAAAAAAAGAATCCATGATTAAATCCAATAACTTCTATTTTTAATGAGTATAACTCCCATGTACTGTCTGCTCACATTATTGTCCCAAAACTCTGAAAAATCGTTTGCTAGGTTTTTCTGACTTCTGACCACTTCCGACCACATGCACCTCCTTCTAACAGCACACTTCCAATTTTTTCTTCAAACTTGCAACTGTTCTTTTCCCCATCGCTGGATAGTGAATAAACTTGAACTGTCATCTGGAGAAGCAATAATCTAAATGAGCCATTTCCATTCTTCAAAAGAAGAGACAGGATTAGGCTGGATCAGGTGACCCTATATGCCCCTCTCCAATCTCTGAAGTCTATTCTAGCACTAAGTGATCCCTAACAATCTTGCTATCCCATCATGCAACTGGCAGCATTACATTTTGGACATTGCATTATGATTGCAGTTGATAAAGTATGCTACTTGGCACAATACTGAGAAAAAGAACATAGAACATAGAAACATAGAAAAAGACACATTTGTGCAAGCAAAGGTGTTGGTGGATGGCAGCTGGTGTGGGTGGCACCATAATGGGAGAGCACTTATGGTAGGTCTATGGGGAAGATTGGTTCACAGGAAAGAGTTGGCAATAAGTGAGAGCGGCAGCATATTGAGGGTTGACTGTAGTTGAAATACAGGGCAACAATTTTCAACATTACTGATTTTCATAAGCTCTCATTTATATAATTGATGACCAATTTTAATGAGTAATGGCTCAAATTAAAGCTAAAGCTCTGCAGTTTTATTGATATCAATTTTTTTTTCAAACTATACTGAAATTATGATAAAATATGTTCAAGATGCCCTCCATTTTGATTTCAGCTTTCCCACAGATGAACAGTGAAGTGCCCCCAGTTCCATTTTGAATCCTTGTGATTATTTCTGGTGGAATCATCTCAAGGACAGTGTTTATACCCCTAAGCCTGATACTCTAGAAGAACTGAAGACCAATATCCAGCATTAGGTGGCCCAGATCACTCCAGACACACTCAGGAGAGTATTCAACAACTTCACTGTTTGTCTGTGGGAATGCTGAAATCAAAATGGATGGTATCTTGAACAAATTTTAGCATTATTTCAGTATAATTTGTATTTTAAAATGTTGATATTAATAAAACTGCAGAGCTTTAGCCTTAATTTGAGCTATTGCTCATTGAAATCGGTAGTCAATGAGAGCTTATGAAAATCAGTAACATTGAAAATTGTCACTATGTAGTTCCTGATATATCTGATTGGAAAGAAAGTTCTCGGAATTTCATGAACAATTATTACAACCCAGTTTATTTAAAAGTAAAATCATCCCAATCATGAATGTAATCACCATTGGCCTCTATCACTTCACGCCAACGTTTATGCAAACTATGGATGCCATTCCAATAGAACTCTGGCGGCTGCGCTACGAAAAAGTTGGCCAAATCGGTTTTCAGGTCGTCTTGGTTGGCGTACTGCTTTCCACCCATGTGACGGTCCAGGGCAACGAAAAGGTGATAATCGGACGGGGCAAGGTCGGGGCTGTAGGGCGGATGCGGCAGCACCTCCCAGCACAGGTCCAGTAACTTTAGATGAGTCTGTCTAGCGGTGTGCGGCCGGGCATCGTCGTGGAGGAGGATGGTTCTCTGTCTTTCTGGGCGTGTTTCAGCCAGTTTCTGCTGCAGCCGATCGAGTTGCTGGCAGTAGTAGGCAGCAGTGATGGTGGTGTTTTGCGGCAACAGCTCAAACATGATGATGCCTTTCGAATCCCAGAAGACCGAGAGCATAATCTTTTTGGGGTGCAACTCCTGACGGGGTTCTCTTTCGGCCGATGCTCCGGCGTCCACCCACTGACGTTTTCGTCGAATGTTGGCATAGAAGGTCCACTTTTCGTCGCCTGTCACCACTGAGTCTAGCCAATCCGTTCGGCGCGAACGTGACAGAAGGGAGATGGCCATGTCTACTCGTCGCTGGCGGTCCCGATCATCCAGCTTGTGGGGTACCCAGCACCCCAACTTTGCCTTCTTGCCAAGCTCAGCCAGATGATGAAGGATAGTTGTATGGGAGACACCCAGCAAGTCCGCAAGCTCTCGCGATGTTTGCCGGTTGTTGGCCTCCAGTGCCTCCTGCAAGGCAGAGTTATCAAACTCCGAAGGACGACCGGTGCGTGGCTGGTCTTCCAGGCTTTCATTTCCTTTCTGGAAGCGACTGTACCAATCATAGGCAGTGCTCTTGGACACAGTGTCCGGGCCAAACGCGGTATTGATGTCAGCGATGGAATTGGCTGCCTTCTTCTTGATTCGGAAGTCATAAAGAAGAAGCAGGCGAACTTGCTCCTTAGTAAGAGGGTAGGGCTGGTTCATGGCTGGAGAGCACCAGGGCTGTAATAATATACGGTTGTATGCTGAAGGACACGACCTACTTATAAACACACGCAGAACATTCTAGCATGCTCTGGAAAAAAATTGTACTGGATATTCAAGAAATTCCTAGAACTTTCTTTCCAATCAGATATAAAGTATTTTATGCTGCAAGGGCATCAAGGCACCCCATAAAGGTCAACAATTTGAGACTACCTTGTCTTGGAAACCTTGAGGGCTAGCACTAAGCAAATTGGCAGAGGTTCACTCAATGATGGTATGCTGTATGCCAAATGTCATGCAGATCCAGAGATGTGCCCCCAAATCTACCAGGACACTTTTGATGGAATAACCCTTCAATCTTCATTATTTGGCACATTTTTGATGTAATGACAAGTGAAAAAAGCACTTGAGAAGTACCAGAAGAGCAGTAAATCACTCTTTACCTGAGATCTGAAAGGATTTCCAGGTTGGATTGAGTGTATTTTTTATAACTTCAGTTTTGTGAACCACACTGTACTGACCAGATTCAGTACTTTTCAGAAACACCAAAAATGGATCTGACTTTCCAAACCAATCCATGCGGTCCAGGTTCTTCCCAAGAAACTGCAACTCAACCTCTTGTTTACAGAATATCAACTCCTCAGCTGTCAAAATAATAGTTCCACACTTTTTGCCTTTGTTCACATGCAATGGCAGCTCCAGCATGCCACTAGACACAATTTGTCCGAGGGTGCACACGGCAAGACCAAGGAAGTCATGATCAGACAGCATATCACTTGGAGAGTCAATATCATACACCTAAGGCAGAAAACGGATATGGATCACACTTTCAAATTACATGCTTCTTTAGTCAAGGAATCATAACTCACCTCAAATTTTACTTTCTGTTGCTCCTCAAAGTTGTATGTCAGTACTGGTTTCTTGGAGAACTTTGGTTCCAATGTGTTTTGTATCACCTCTGTTCGATGAACTTCAACCCATCTATCTTCACCAAATGGATGTATGAATGTTACTACCATGGGATCAGATTTGGAGAAAACATCCATGTCAGCTAATCCCCTGCAAAGATAAAGAAACAAGAGTAAAAAAAACTAGGCATGCAAATAAGTATGAACTGCCCCAATCTTAGTGCAATTGTTTTGAGCATGAGCAAAAGGAATTTCCACCTGCATGAAATGGTGAGCTCAATGATGGAGGTTGGCTCAACAGCTGAGCCACCCAGGAAACCAGACTGTGGGACACTTGGCAGCATGTTCAATCACTTCAATAAAGATTACTCAGGAAAGCTTTAACCCATGATCTAAAAATTCTGGTTTTTCAAACAAAACCTGCGAAAGGAATACAACAGGCACCACAGCTGAATTGGATGAACTCAAATTCAAGAATATTTCAGCATTTCAACATACTTGTGAAATTATGTCTGAAGCAGTTTGAAAAATGGTCAAAGCAACCATCACATCCATTCAAAAAGGATGTTTCTGCATCATGGAAAATAGCCTAATGGCAAAAAAACCTGAGATAAGAGATTATACAGTTTATATTATGATCATGAAAAATAAATAAGCATTATTCCACTGTGAAGATAGTTCAAAGCTTGCATGACTAATGTCCATTTACATCAAACTCTTTCACTGAAGAAGCAAAGCACATCTATCTGTCATTGGTAGCAAATCTGCAGTAGATAGAACTTCATGCCAAAAATAACTCATGAAGGAGCTATAACAAACTTACAGAAAGCCTAGTTAATGTAATAGCTGTCAGTGCAGGATCCATGAACTGTGGCCAAGAAGCTGCATTCATGTTGGATATGAATAAAACAATATGTAACATTTTATTTTCAGAAATTCAAAATAAATGTAACACTTGCAAAATTCAACATTGTCAAAGCCTTTATGTCAAAATATGACCAATATGACCTGATAAGAAGCAATGTCCTTATGTCCCATGCTACATGAAAGTAAGCAGCCATTTGCTTCTCTTTTCGTAACTGGTGGTTTGTAAGAGGCTGGCAACTGAAATGTGAACAAAGTCATTGCACCATGTCCTGGGCAAAACTACAAGGCCTCACTTTAGGACAATATTTAATTGAGATGCACAGAATAGCAGAAAAAAGCCCACAATACATCATCTTGTTAGAGCTCAAATGTATTTAAAACAATGAAAAAAATAAGAAAGTACAAGCAAGCCAAAAATACTGGTAAGGCCAATGATACAATCTCATCAGAGAATAATCTTTACCAAATGATTCATAAGTGAAAGGAATACAGAGTCCTTCAAAAGTCATGCAAACCATTTTACATAATTTTTTTTGAGAAACATAAACTGAGTATCTAATGAAAATTGGCTTAATATCAAAGGAACACATCTCAACTATGAATAAAAGTTTGATAGCAAGTGTTAGAAGTGACCACAGCATTCCTGTAAGCACATTGTGACACACTGGTGCGTGTTCGCAGGAGTATGATTTCAGGTCACACGAGTAGTGTCAGCAATGGCCTGTGCAATGTTTCGCTTCAACGTTTCCAAGTCTCCAGGATTGCTAACATATGCGCTTTACTTATGAAATCCGCAGAAGAAATAGTCAGGTAATGTCAGGTCTGGAGACCATGGTGGCAAGAGTTTCTTGCTTATGAGCGGTTGCTCATAAGCATCCGTCTTGATGAAATCACATCATGTTCATCAATATCTAACACAGTGATAAACTGCTGAACAATGTGTTTATAATGTTCAGCATTTACAGTTTCTTTGAAAGACACATGACCAAAACAAGTAATACATTAGCTGATGTGCATATATCCAATTAAATATATACCAGCACTTGTTCATGTAGAGGGTTGCATGACTTTTGAAAGACCCTGTATGTCTCAACCATAAGACTAGAAATGGTGCTCTTCAGCAAAAAAACATATCACAGTTAGTTATTATTAACATCATATCGAAGAGAAGGGACACTATCAGTTGGCAGACCATAGCCTGGCATTGCAAAAACAAATCTGACTGGGTTGACTGAACCCAGTTTAGCTATTGACATCAATGTAAAAATGGGGTGTTTTTCTAGAACACCCAATAAACAGAGTATGGTAAATAAAAGACCAATGACTTTTAACCTTAATATATTTGCTGCCATATATGTTATACTAATTATTCAAAACAATGTTGGGCAATGGCACTGGCATTCCTACTGGCAGTGAATGCGTTGATATCTCAGCTCCCAATGGAGCTATTTTTGTGAAACTGTCATTATGCATATATGAGAATGTTTCCAACTGATTCTCTAATTTTCATTTGATTTTGTTGGGCTGAAGTGATACAATCAGCAATTATTGAAAAGAAGTAAGACATTGAGAATGGACAATAGCTCCTCCTGGTAGTGAAGTGGAGGACACACTTGAGTACTGTCCCTCCTCATCATCGAGACCATATCAAACTCTTCTTCATTTAAATTAATTCTTTGTGCTGGTCATCTCATGTAGATGGTTTTCATGAGCTTATTCCTAATGAACAGCAGATGAATCAATGATGAGTATCAACCCAAAGAGTTTTCTCAAAGTTATTTAAAATTTTCCTTGGTTTTCTGAAGGAAGTGTCCACTTCAAAGGTCAGATTTGTCATAGAATATCATTTATAACTTTGATTTGAAGTAATAGATTTTGGCAGCCTTGTTGACTCTCAAATAAATTAAGGCATGCTTCATCCACAGCACATTTTGTGACATATTACTTAACCCTTTCAGAAGTGAGTTTTCTTCTTGCTCCTAGGACGTTTTGAGAAAAAATTCATTGAAGTCACTTGATATATATTTTGAAAGTTTTTGATCATAATGTAAATAGTCAATTGTAGTGCATGAGAGGCAAAAAATGCAACAAAATCAACCAGAAGTATTTTACACAAAACTTGAAATTAAAATTCCATAAAAATATTGAAACAGTATATTTACAAGCATACTCCTCAAAGGGCTAAGCAATCTTAAGATACACTCAAAGTCCTTGGTCCTTTTGGTCATACCTTGTAGACTTAAATTGACATAAATCAAGTAACCATCTGCAAAAGATGCCTGTCCAAAGAATTAATTAATTCTTTCACTCCCACATCACCAAGGCTCAGTGGATAGGTGTTCGGGCTAGGATGCAGGTGGTCCAGGTTTGAATCTGATTGGCAGCAGGCATCATTCTCCTGGGCCAACAGCTCAGCTGGCTGCTTTTGGGTACTACCTATTCTCCCTTGGGCTCAAGCATAGGCCCATTGTGTGAGAAATAGGGGTTTGGTGCATCTCAATAGCACCTGCCAATGCTGCAATGGCCCTGGTGGCCCAATGTGCAGCAAGCAATTGAATGCTTCATGCCTGAGCAGCATCAAAGTTGCTATCACCTTCTCCAGGCCTATGAAAACAGTATACATAGTGACAGAGAGCATGGGAAGGTGAGGCAATGCTGTCAGGGATGTCCGATCTGGACCCCCTTTCCCCTTCACTATGTGAAAAGCCACTTGTGGCATTTGTCCTTGTCTGTGTGTCTGTCCCAGTCCACTTTTTTTTTTCTTTCTTTTAATGGAAAAAAAAAATCCTTTTGCTCCCAAGCAGAATTGTATCCCATTAGGAAGAGCCGATATATTGGCACCTTGGAATTCTAAAAGGAGTTTGACGTGGTGTTCATGACCAGAAGGAACAATGCTCAAGTGTTTCCTTCACTCCACTACCAGCAGGAGCACTTGTTGATTCTCAATAACTAACTTCTTTTCAATAATTGCTGATTGTACTGCTTCAGTCCAACAAATTCAGATGAAATTTTGAGAATCAGTTGGAAACATACTCATCTACACAGTGAAAGTTTTGTGAAAATGGCTCCATGGTGAGTAGAGATATTTAGGTTAGAAGTCATTCAGCTTTTTTTGCCATACCCTGTATATATACTTATAAATAGGATTATATCTTCATCACTCACTGGATTCCGGGATGCTGACTAGACTGTCTTTGCTTTCATTACCTGATTAAATAATCAAGTAGGAGAACAATGGCAAGCCCTCATGTACCTACACTTCTTTTGGATGTATAGCAATAACAGCAGTTAGACAGGACAGTCCTATTCTGAGGCTGCCCATGAAAAGGCAGGAGAATATCAAACTCAATGATCACGATCTTCTGGTGGTCTATATTCCAACCCTAAATGCTGAAATATTGAAGCTTCAGTTGGAGTTTCCAAAAGATGACCATCATTCACCTTCTCTCGACCCTAGGAATAAAGATAAGCATGCAGTTTTCCAAATTTCCTTATGAAAACAAAGCTAATTTTCTTAAAAAATTGACAAGATAGCACTCATTAACTTACTTGTCTGACCACACCTGCGCGAAGTCCATGTTCAGACAGACTCATGCCCATCTTGTTTGCCAACAATCTCATAGATCGGTTAAAGTGAGCAGAGCCAGTAAAATACATTAGAGCTGGAGCCAGTTCACCATAGGGCATAACAATGATATCAAGCCTGCGATACTGGGTAAATTAATTTAGTCAAAATATGACTATGATGCTACTAATCTTTAAGGATGACCCAGAATACCTTTGCATTCTCTTTATGCAACTTGCATACTCCTAGATACTTCTGCTGAGCAGTACTCTGTTCTTGAATCATGAGATCATCAGTCAAAAACCCTAGAAAAAAAATAGTCAGAAATTTGACCAAAATATTATCAATAAAATAAGAAACCACTTTATATGTTAACATAAACCTGAAAGCTTCAATTTCTTCAAAAGCGGCTGGAACAGTCCTTCATGCGACACCCCATCAGGATGAGTGACAAGGACATCAACATCTCCACATGTAGATTTCCCACGCCTATATGAGCCACATGCAAATGTTTGTGTACCTGGACACAATTCCTCCACTGCCTTCCTGATCTATTCATTTCCAGAGATTTATGCAGGTGTAGTATAGCCCTCTACTAAGCAGAATACATGTCCTTATTGGAAACAATGATGACTAAACTCACAACAGCAGCTATCTCTCCAGCCTCAGCCCTGGACATCCTTTCCAGCAAGTCATCAAAACATTTCAAGCCAATCTGTTGCTGGTGAGTCAGATGAGCTTTGGTTTTGACATCATTCAGATTTCGCAATCCCTACAAAATTGAAAATTTGGATCATGAATACCAGCAGTTCAATTCATAAGAAAATTATTAATAAAATAATAACATACCATTCCATACCACAGTTCTGCAGTCGTTGCACCTACTCCCCAGATGCTTGTAAAAAGTTCCAAAGTTCTAACTTTCTCACCTTCTGAAAGTTTCTCAGCTTTCCTCAGTTTCCCTTGTTCTACTATCTCCCATATTTTGTCTGCTAGGCTTGGTCCAATGCCATGCAGCACTTTTGCTTCCTAATGGCAAGCCAGGCATATCAATAAATCAGGGAAGAGTTCATGTCATCAGGGTAAACTCAGGAAGTAAATTTGTGCACCTCATAAGAAGAAATTGGCTTAGGAAGTTTCTTTATCTGGTTGATTGCCCTTTCATATGTCAGTGCCCTCCAATGATCATTGGAATTCTTGTAGATTTTAGCCAACTTGCCAAGTTCCTCAGTTATGAGCTGATTGACATTGTCTGTCTTCATTCCAGATGCATGGGCACATGCAAATCCATCCTGAAGGAAACTCAGTTAAATGAGATTCAAGGTCAAAAAGGATGAAAATATACTGATAACTAAGTTATGCAATACTAAAGCAAGATAACATCCAAGTATCCATACCTTATTGATACTGATTTCCTTTGTTTGCTCTTCATGAGGATGACCCAAAGATGTTCCAACTAGAACTGTTGGACAAATTTTTGGCATAGCAAACATTTGATGCTCCCCCAATGGAATAATAGCATTTTCTGCTAGGCATCGACTCAACCACTGGGTCTTCAGAACTGGTACACCTGCAACTCTGGCCTCATCTTCCACATATTTCTTGAATCCATCAATGGAAAGCATGTCATCTACAATAACATGGGTCAACCTCCCTTCTTCTTCAAAGGATGATACAAGTCTTCCCCCATGAAGAACCACTTTATCTTGGAGCAGAGACAACCTTTTCTTTCCAATGCCACTTGGGACTATCAACACTGACATACCAAAAAAAATCTGTGATTTCTCAACCTTCTCTGCCCTGTTGTTTTTGGCCTTTGCATCACCCTCACAAAAATCATCAAGCCTCCTCTTCATTGCTCCCCAAGTTTATCCAAGTTTTTGATTGCCATGGACCATTTATATAATTCTAAAGATCTTGCCTCAATGGTGGCAGCCACAAATATCCATGTTGACAATCATTTCAAAAGTTATCATGGAACCAATTCACATGAATCCCACTCTCAAGGGTTCAGAACATCTCAGTGAAGTTTGAGTAATGATACAGGAAAGTAGTGGACTCAATTCCAGCTGCTCTCTTGCTTCACTGGTGAGAAATAGCAAGGAAACCTGCCAGAAAGATGGTGAGTATGATTACTTAAGAGATTCTTAGAATAAAATACCATGGTTACAAATACCATACAAACTATATAAACATTATGAACAGAAATGTGCAGCCCAATGCCATAACAGGAGCAGCAAAATCATTCAGTCACCTGTGATCCATGAATGCTGGAATCTCAAAACCTCCACAGATTTTCAAGAATACAAATAAAACTTAACTTTTTCTGCAGCTACTCTGATGAAGACTGTGCATGAGCTAATGATGGGATGATCAACCTATCTGATTGTCAAAAATATCATTATTCACTACTCCTTTTTATAATTCAATGACATTTTTCAACATTTGCATTCATGCCTACATCCATTAGGTAGTTTAAATTGTCAGGTCTAAGCAAAGTAACATTCTTGTTGATATAAAGAATACCTCTCTCAAGACATACCTAAAAAAGTGGGCCTCTGGTGATATGTTTACCTGTCTTAAATCACCCCTCTAAGTGTATAATAATTAAGACATTTATGCAATATCAATGATAAATAATCATGCTCTTCCTCATTGAATGCAATCCATTTATAGGAAATACAACCAATAGTTTCTAGACACTGGCAAATAAAGCACATATATATACTTTTCTCTAACATACTAAGATAAATGTCTTTTGAGCAGTGACAAGCTGGTCTAACAGTATTTGAAGTATTGGGGACATCAAACATTGTTTTTGATTAAAACAAATAAAGCAATTCTGATCCTAACTTCATTTATTGTTGTTACTATCTGTTTTAAATAATTAATCATTGAGTAAATAAATTAAGGACATTTATGCTTGCATTTTGATGTAAAAATGTGACTGCAACAATGACTTTGTAACCTCACACAAAAAAAATTAATTTGTGGTGATATTTGTTTGAAACAAATTCCTTACTGAGTATCTTTAAAACTGCATGAGGGGGGTGTATTGGAACATAAGTAATGATCTAATGAAAAATGGTTTAAATTTCTTGGTCTACCCTGTGCATCCCTTAACATTTTCACTCCAGATTTATTTAAACTGTGCTTGACAGAGAAAACCAGTGTTTTTAGACCTTAACAAAAAAAAAAGTAATATCTCAAGAAAGAAAATACCTCGTAGATATGAACATGCATTTTTTGTAATTTTATACTTATGATATCAAAGTTTATAATAACAAAAAGCTGCTTGATTATGTTTTACTTCTTGCAAGAGATCACCTTTCAAATAAAAATTTTTCATGAAAATCAAAATTTGCACAATGTGGTTATGAAATGGATAATCTGTTCTTTTCAAAATTTCTACCAGAGAGAAGTTCACAAATTTACTTGGGAGAAGTACACAAATTTACCTACTCCCAGTACCTCTTCTTAGTGCAATATGCCTCAAAACATGGAACAACACAGTAGAATACCACATCAGTCACACATTTAGATGGTTTCAGCTAATTCCTTGCCACTATATTTACCTTTCCAAGAACAAACTTTATATTTTCTCTCACTCGCACAGTGTTGGGTCATATTTCAAATACAAGTATTTGAAATACTGCTTCAAATACTTTGATGCATCTTGTATTTGTATTAGAAATACAAATCAGGCCTTATATTTTCTGTTTGCAGTTTAAATACTTCTCTGACTGTATTTTATATTTTAAAATACAGTCAACTATAAATACAGCAGATTTTTCATGAGAATCAAAGACTGGTGCATTTGCCATCAGAACTCTTCAAACTCACCCTCTGTACTCACTGACTGAATATTGACTTTTCCTGTGTGTCATGGCATTATTATTCATTTGGATGATGATGAATTTGATGATTTTGAAGGCTGATGGCTTTTTGTGATAATAGGAAAAGGAATATCTTTCACATTAATTTAAATGTTTGTGGCCTAACAGCAAGTTACCAGTGAGTAGGCTTAAGTCTATCTATCTTTAAAGAACTTACAAAAGAGTAAGCCCTAACATAGTTGGCATTAGGATTGCCTAGGCCTGAGGATATGCTAATGCAAAGGTGTTAACCTTTCCTTAATGTTTGCTGAAGGCAAAACATAGGGTAGCCTGCTCTATACATGGCTTCTAAAAGTCTTGGTAAGTTTTTTTCATGGTATGTGTTATGGCCTAGTCGTCTACAATAAAAAAAAAATCTTTCTTGCTTTCTGCCAAAAGGAACTCTCTGAAAGGCATGAATCAATAAAAACTTTTAATGTGAAAACTCAGAAATTTTGTTTCTTTTTGTAATGGATGCATTTCTCCCACCTATATGGAGTCTATGTATATTAAGTACAGAGTGGTGCACAAAAAATGGTTCACATTTTATTAACCTGTATTTTCATTATTTATTAAGTTAGAAAATTAAATGACTTGTCATATGATAGACAAACTCAAAATGTTTTATATGTTGAAATAGTCATTTGAATAGTTCACCATTCCTTTAGATAATCTGTCTATAATGTACAGCAGTGATTTTTTTAATAACCTTGTTGAGTGTCTTTTGTGTTATGCCTCCAAACCCTGTAACCAAAGAACATTTGAGTTCATTAATTTGTGCATTTGTGGAGAACACCTTTTCTTTAAGGAATCCCATTTTAAAAAAAATCTATGGGTCTGGAGTTGGTGTTAGCCACAGGATGTCCCCTCTTGTATTGATAACGCTTTCTCTTCAAACTTATGAACCATATTCTTAATTGCTGGATTTTATGCTTTATCAGGAAGTCATTGTCTTCATATTCTCTCTTTGTAGTAGCAGGTGAAGGCATTTCAATTAATTTAAGCATGATGAACACCCTTGGCTCTGTTTTTTCCTGATAAGACACCTCCATCAAGTCCAACAATTGAGAAGATTGTTGTTAAGTTTGAAGAGAAAGCATTATGAGTATTTTTAATAGGATTTCCTTTAAGAAAAGGTGTCCTCCACAAATCCACACAGCATTGACGAACTCAAACATTCTGTGGTTACAGCACTCAGAGGCATAATGCCAGAAACACTGAACAAGGCTATTTAAAACACTGCTGTACATTACAGACAGATTATCCAAAGGAAATTTGAACACTTTGAGCATGTCATTCAACGTTGAAAAAACTCTTTGAGCTTGCCTGTCAGATGACACACAATTCAATTTTTTACTGCATTAAATAATGAAAATACAGGTTATTAAAATGTGAAAAATTTTTGCACACCACCCTGTATTTTAAAAACAGCTATAAAAATACATTAGTTTGAAATACAACTATTGAATGTTATTTTATATTCGTATTTCCAATACGCAATTGAAAATGTATCTGTATTTGTATTTCAAATACTTAGAAATGTATTTTCGTCCAACACTGCATTTGCATCACTCTAAACACTCAACAGCCTCAAAATCATATCTTATATACATACATACATAATTTTAAAAAATTGCAGATACTGCAACTCAGCCTGCTAAGGAGCTGAAATATACTAATCAAAAGGTGAAGTGCAACGTATATCTAACTTTACAAAGCTACAGTCTGACCATAGTGTCAAGAAAATCCATAAGAAATTGTTTAACAAAAGATGTACGAGATTTCGGAGATACGACATTTTTCAACCACATGAAACAACACGCTAGGCCTAAATAGAATATCAATTGAGGACGAATGTAGTTCACTGTCAAAATATACCAAACAAGCAGGCCCCCATCGTCAAATCTGAAAGCATGTGGGTTTACACATCATGGACGTCGCCATCATGGTACTTGGTGGTGTTTATGCATCGCACTTTTTTCTTTTTTCGCTGGTATCCAACATTATCCATTTGAGTATTACTTTTTTTTAAGACTCTTGCTGCTGAAGGCGACTCGAGTCGCCTAGAATAACCTGCACATTGAAATAATTGAGTAGTAAGAGTGTTAAAGGGGGCAGTAGGTGAAGGCAAGTTCTCAAAAATATCATCCCGCCCATGTCCAGCTTCCGTTTCAGCCTTGATTCGACTCACCCATACGAAAAGGAACCCCCAGCAGTGGAACCCATACAGCACAGGTATATCCCAGAGATATCCCCTTGGGACAAGTGTGATGTCCCAGAGGCGAGGAGTAGGGACATCTTAGGGATATCAAAATGTACCAGCCCAATGACATCCCAAGGATGAAGAACTAGCACATCCGAGAGATGTCCCGGGGATATCCCTTTGGGACAAGTCCCGGACATTACTTGTGGGGACATCTCAGGGATATAAAAATGTCTGGGCATAAAGACATCCCAAGGATGTCTCTTTCTTGTAGCACAAGTATATCCGAAGGATGTCCCAGAGATATCCCCTTGGGACAAGGGAGAAGTCCCAGGTGGTACTTGCAGGCGCCTTCCTATCCGCATAAGACTCATTTCCTACCGCACAGGAGAACCCATTACTTTCGAAGATGTCTCTATTTGACCTAGGAACACCTAATCTTAAGTTCTTGACCATGGAAGAGTGACGTTTGTGAGGGAGGAAAATCCTGTTCGAAAGGGAGCCCCATCATAGGAGACATAACTCCAAGGAACGAAATTCAGCAAAGTGTGAACTCAGGCCTCCAACCAAGATAGTTGTATCCAGGCCGATCACTCATCATTAAATAGAATATAGCGGAATAAATTGAAATTCGGACCGGAATTTTTTTAACTTTCCCTGGTGACCGTTTTCCTGA